TCTTTAAAAATGTTTACTGAAGTAGCGTCAACTACTTCACTGGGCAAGGAGTTCCATAGATTAACAACCCTCTGAGTGAAGAAGTTCCTTCTCAATTCAATCCTAAATCTGCTCCCTCTAATCTTGAGGCTATGCCCTCTTGTCCGAGCTTCACCTGCCAGTGGAAACATCCTCTCTACTTCTATCTTATCTATTCCCTTCATAATTTTATATGTTTCTATAAGATCCCCCCTCAATCTTCTGAATTCTAATGAATATAATCCCAATCTACTCAGTCTCTCCTCATAAGACAACCCCCTCAACTCCGGAATCAACCTAGTGAACCTCCTTTGCACCCCCTCCAGTGCCAGTACATCCTTTCTCAAGTAAGGAGACCAAAACTGCACACAGTACTCCAGGTGCGGCCTCACCAGCACCTTGTACAGCTGCAACATAACCTCTCTGCTTTTAATCTCAATCCCTTTAGCAATGAAAGACAAAATTCCATTTGCATTCCTAATTACTTGTTGTACCTGCAGACCTACCTTCTGTGATTCATGCACAAGGACACCCAGGTCCCTCTGCATAGCAGCATGCTGCAACTTTTTACCATTCAAGTAATAATCCTTTTTACTATTACTCCTATCAAAATGTATGACTTCACATTTACTTACATTGCATTCCATCTGCCAGACCTTTGCCCACTCACTCAATGTATCTATGTTCCTCTGCAAAGTCTTTCACAGTCCTCTGCACACTTTGCTCTGCCACTCATCTTAGTGTCATCTGCAAACTTTGACACCCTACACGTGGTCCGCAACTCCAAATCATCTATATAAATTGTAAATAATTGCGGTCCCAACACCGATCCCTGAGGCACACCACTAGTCACTGACTGCCAGCTAGAATAGCACTCATTTATTCCCACTCTTTGCTTCCTGTTAGTCAACCAATCCTCTATCCATGCTAATACTTCACCCTTAACGCCATGCATCCTTATCTTATGCAGTAGCCTCTTGTGCGGCACCTTGTCGAAGGCCTTTTGGAAATCTAGGTACACCACATCCACTGGGTCCCCATTGTCCATCTTGCTCGTAATGTCTTCATAGAATTCCAAAAGATTTGTCAAGCATGACCTGCCCTTCATGAACCCATGCTGCGTCTGCCCAACGGGACAATTTCTATCAAGATGCCTTGCTATTTCTTCCTTGATAATAGACTCAAGCATCTTCCCCACTACAGAGGTTAAGCTAACCGGTCTATAATTCCCCATCTTTTGTCTACTTCCCTTTTTAAACAGTGGTGTCACATTTGCTATTTTCCAATCTGCTGGGACTGCCCCAGAGTCCAGCGAATTTTGGAAAATTACCGCCAGTGCACCTGCTATTTCTCCCGCCATGTCTTTTAGTACCCTGGGATGCATTCCATCAGGGCCAGGAGACTTATCAATCCTTAGCTCCATTAGCTTGCCCAACACTACCTCTTCCGTAATTATGATTGTTTCCAGGTCCTCACCTACCTTTGTCTCTTTGTCAATTACTGGCATGTTATTAGTGTCCTCCACTGTGAAGACCGATACAAAATACCTGTTCAATGCCTAGGCCATTTCATCATATCCCATAACTAAATTCCCCTTCTCATCCTCTAAAGGGCCAATGTTTACTTTAGCCACTCTTTTTCGTTTTATATATTTATAGAAACTTTTCCTATCTGTCTTTATATTCTGTGCTAGTTTTTTCTCATGTTCTATCTTACTTTTCTTTATAGCTCTTTTTGTGGCTTTCTGTTGACCTTTAAAGTTTTCCCAATCTTCTCGTTTCATGCTGTTTTTGGCCACTTTGTATGCCTTCTCTTTCAATTTGATAGCCTCCCTTATTTCTTTAGACACCCATGGCAGATTACCCCTTTTCTTACAGTTCTTCCTTTTCACTGGAATATACTTTTGCTGAGCACTTTGAAAAATTGCTTTGAAAGTCCTCCACTGCTCGTCAACTGTCCCACCATAAAATCTTTGTTTCCAGTCTACTTTAGCCAAGTCCTCCCTCATTCTATTGTAGTTCCCCTTGTTCAAGCACAGGACCCTGGTATTGGATTTTATCTTCACACTCTCCATCTGTATTCTAAATTCAACCATACTGTGATCACTCCTTCCAAGAGGATCCCTAACTATGAAGTCATTAATTATTCCTGTCTCATTACACAGGTCCAGATCTAGGATAGTTTGCTCCCTCGTCGGTTCCATTACATACTGTTCAAGAAAACTATCACGGATACACTCAATGAACTTCTCCTCAAGGCTACCCTGACCGAGCTGGTTTGACCAATCTACATGTAGATTAAAATCCCCCATGATAATTGCCGTACCATTTTTACAGGCATTAGTTATTTCTTTGTTTATTGCCCGCCCCAATGTGATGTTATTATTTGGTGGCCTATTGACTACGCCTATCAGTGACTTTTTCCTCTTAGAATTTCTAATTTCCACCCAAATGGATTCAACCTCATTCTCCATAGAACCTATATCATCTCTCAGCACCGCCCTGATGTCGTCCTTGAATATCAGAGCTACACCACCTCCCTTACCTTCCTGTCTGTCCTTCCGAATAGTCTGGTACCCTTGGATATTTAACTCCCAGTCGTGACCATCCTGTAACCATGTCTCCGTAATGGCTACCAAATCATATTCATTCGCGATGACTTGTGCCATTAACTCATCAACCTTGTTACAAATGCTACGAGCATTCAGGTAAAGTGCCTTTATGCTAGCTTTCTTACCCTCATGATTTCCAACATTTCTAATAATATTTCCTGAGTTATCCTTCATTTTTCCTTCTTTCATAGTCTGCCTTGAACTTAAACCCTCCTGCACACGTGCTAACCTGCTGCTTACCTTTTTATTTACCATCATACTCCCTGTCGTTTTCCCTTTCCCTTCCCCCCAACTCACTAGTTTAAAGTCCTAGTGACCACCCTATTTATCCTTTTTGCTAGAACACTGGTTCCAGATCGGTTCAGGTGGAGACCGTCCCGTTGGTACAGATCCCTTCGGTTCCAAAACTGATGCCAATGCTCCATGAAATGGAACCCCTCTTTCCCACACCACTCCCTTAGCCACGTGTTTACTTCCCTAATTTTCTTATCCCTAAGCCAATTTGCACGTGGCTCGGGCAGTAATCCAGAGATTATGACCCTCAAGGACCTGTTCCTTAATTTCGTTCCTAGTTCTTGATAATCCCCAAACAGGTCCTCCATCCTAGCCTTGCCTATGTTGTTAGTCCCAACGTGGACCACAACAACTGGATCCTTCCCCTCCCGCTCCAATATCCTTTCAAGCCAGTCAGAGATGTCCTGCACCCTGGCACCGGGCAGGCAACACACCAAGCGGGACTCCCGATCCAGCTTGCAAAGGATACTATCTATCCTCCTAACTATAGAATCCCCTATAACTACCACTTGTCTTTTTGCTTCCCCCTCTTGAATGGCCTTCTGCACCATGGTGCCGTGGTGAGCTGGCTCATCCTCCCCGCAGCCCTTTTCCTCATCCACACAGGGAGCAAGTATCTCGTACCTGTTGGATAAGGTCAAAAGCTGAGGCTCCTCCACTCCTGAACTCAGGATCCCCCTACCTGCCTCACTTGCAGTCACACCCTGTTGTCCGTGATCACTAACTGAATTTGAATTACTTAATCTACCAGGTGTGACTGCCTCCTGAAACAAAGCATCCAGGTAACTCTCCCCCTCCCGGATGTGCCACAGTGTTTGAAGCTCAGATTCCAGATCTTCAACTCTGAGCCGGAGTTCTTCCAGCAACCAACACTTGCTGCAGATGGACTGAATGGTTTCTTTCTGTGCTACTTTTCTTCTAAAATGCATCTACAAGCTCTCTCAATCATGCAGAAGCTACATCTATTGACTTTTACGGTCTGCAGACCATAAAGGGTCCTACTGAATTGGGAACTCAATTGGGATACTAGAATTGATATCAGCATTCTGAACTAGACAGGCAATTGAAAACAAAATGTCAGCTAAAGTTCAGCTTCTCAGTGTTACACAACGTCACTCTATTGAGAAAGCGTCAGATGAGTACAAGATAAAGCACATGTATGAAGTGCCTTGCAGTTGCACAGATTCCCAATGCTCATCATTTTCAAAATGTCCACTTGGCTTTTTTTAAATCCATACAGCCTTTAATGCCTGTCCCTCATACTAATTAATTCAACTGAATAGCTTGCTAAGCCATTTCAGAGGGCAGTTGAAAGTCAACCAAATTGCTGTGGGTGTGGAGTCACATGTAAGCCAGACCAGGTGAACATGGCAGATTTCATGCCCTGAAGGACATTAGCGAGGCAAATGGGTTTTTCTGACAATCAACAATGGTTTCATGGTCATCAGTAGATTCTTAATTCCAGATTTTTTTCATTGAATTCAAATTCATCTGCTGTGGCAGGATTCAAACTCAGGTTCCGAGAACATTAGCTGAGTTTCTGGATTAATAGTCTAGTAATAATACCATTAGGCCATCACCTCCTGTATGTTTATATAGTGACTGTCTCTGCTCCAGGAACTCTACTACTTTCTGGGGTGGGAGAAGAACGAATGAGAAGAAGCACGAACTGCCTTGAATTCTGTTTTAAAGAACAAACTTTGATTCACATGTAGATTTTCAATTTTAAACTTAGACTAGCTTCCCAACCATTCAGAAATGCAGAGGGCAGTGGAATTTGTTTTACTGAGTCAGAGTCAAAATGTTGATTTACCACTATCAGAGGTCCAAATCTGTATTCAAACAATCACATTTAGCATTAATTGTGACAATGTCCAAATCCACATTAAATTGTATTCTAATGTGTCTTGAAACGATGCCACAGTTCAGCGCCTAAAAGCAGCAAGTCAGCTTTTGAAGTTAAAGTCTGAGTTGCAGCTCCAAAGATACTCTGAGAATTTCAGCCTAAAATACTGCTGCACTCTGTTCATTGATTCTCAGTTCCACTCATCACTGATTCTGCTGCTCTGTTCAAGGACCAAAATCTGTGCCATACATAGCAATACCTAATTTAGTAAATAGGGAATTTCTTTTGAAGTGCACAATCCACATGCAGGAATAAAGCAACATCATCAGGTAGGAACTGTAGCCAGAATAGCCAGTAAGGAGCACATCAAACAAGGTGAAGTACTCTCGGCACACACTTAGGCCACCCTTTATGCCTCATGGGCTCTTTCCTGGGCTTGGTGCAGGTGGCCTTCCTCAGGTCTAAATTAAACACCACTGATAGATTTGTAAGCACTGTCTGCCTTCCACAGCCAAATATGTGCCCCACGGACCTTGGAGAAATATCACATGAAGCCCACCAGTGTACCTGAGGTCTTCACAAAGTAGGCACCAAAGGGCACATTCAACACAAAAAAGAATCAATCTGATTAAGTTAACTTCATTTTGAAGATGATTCAAGGGTTAATGTTTCTCCTTTTCAAAACAATTGAGTAAAATTATTATTTAAGTTCATTACACTTGAACGGCCCTTTAGCCCGTGTCACCTTAATCATCAATTAAGAAACGTAGAGGAGCCTTGCAAACCACAGGAGAAGCAAGAAGTATTTGTGTGATTGTCCCTTCACTTCTCAGTCTTAGTGGTGATGGCTAGTGGAGTGGCACTGTGAGGTGAAAAGAGTAACTTTTCAGATTTTGTTGAACAGGAGAGATGTCTGTGAATAAACTTAATCTTTTGTATTTTTTCTTTTATAAATGTATAAGTTGTGAAGCCAAAGCATTACCATAATTCAGAATACCCCCTTTTTAATGCAGAAATTCAAAATTTCTTCTCCTCAGCCTCCCATCAAGATACAGAGCCCCTCAGTGTCAAGGAACAGTATGTATGAAGCACTTAACAATTCCAAAATGCCTGATATGCTGACTTTGACTCAAGAAATTTGGAGATACAAAGCAACTCTTTGTTCCATTGCTTTATATGTGCTCAGGGAGATATAAAGTGGTTAAAGCACATCGCAATAATATATTTAACTACTGTAACATCCGTTATGATTACTACTGTAAAGTAAAAGCTATTTTGGGAGTAGTCTTTTTAAGAACAGCTCTAGTTTCCTGCTTGATAAAGTAAGACCAAGTCACAAATCAATGAGGCCGCAATCAGCAGTTTTTAATCACAGCGGGATACCCCACCTGATGGTTTAGCTGAACATTCAAATAAAGTTGTTGTTTGTGACCCTGCCATGTCAGCGTGTCATGGCTTCAATTTGTTCTCCTAATGCAATTCATATAATTCAGTATAAGGTGTGTGGATTTAATTACCTACTCTTGGTGCTGCCAAATTGGTGGTGAATTTAGCACCATCTTTGTTTTACCAATATATTCAATTTTAAAAGCTTTTGAATTGTTTTTTTTCATTTATCTATCAACTTCTCATTATTTTTTCAGAGAAAATTAACTCAAGCTGCCTGAAAAGGAGTGGTACCAAATTAGAACGAAAAGCAAGAGTTTCAATTATATGGCCCATTATCCATCTATTAGAAAGACAGCAGTATTTCAGATATAATTATAACATTGCTTTAAAGTGTAGTGGCCTGTGATATATAGGCAAACACAGAAGCCATTTCTTGTGACAGAAACCATGAATTGGAACAAGATAGATTTCTGTACATCTTAACCTTTTAGAAGATGAAACATTTACATTATTCGGTTATTTTTGAACTGCAACCTGTACATTTTTTACTGAGTTTTATTTCCTGTTTGAGTAGCACATTTCTATCCTTGCATTGTACTGTGCTTTTATGTTTTACAATGTGTGTGGCTTTGGGGTCAGTAGTATTGTATTGTTGTGAAGCATAAAGAATAGAAGCTATAAACAAAATGTACAAAATAAATAGATAACTGCAGTAATATCACCTTATTCCTAATTAAAATTGCATAGCAAATACAGATCAAACGACATTGTATACAAGTTACACTGCCTGGAAAACAATCACACTACAAAAAGGTACTATAAAAGCAGTGCATGTGTGTACTGTTCTTTAACTATGCAAAGGTTCCACCAAAGATCTTCAGAGTACATCCATCCCAAGACTGATGACCCTTCTTTACTGAGGTAGATGAGCCCAAAAGACAATAGGAATGCTACAGTTGGTATCTGCTCAAAGTCATTGCGTAATTCAAAAGTAGAACAAGATTGAGGTTAAATCATCTCAAAGTTACATCTTGCACAACTATAGCTTAAATTTGTGAAGCCAAGAGCCACAGAACTACCCTGTAATAAGAAACCAATACTCCAGAATTATTGCAGGCAAGATTAGTGTGGGGATGAAACTGTGCCAAATGGCTCCCAATTATCCAATCTCTAAAGAATCACCACATGTTTTCCAAGGGAGTATTGTGAGAAAAATCCACAATTATAGACATGCCTGCAGCCTGCTGAAAGACAGTAGCAGAGCTCTGATAGCAGGTTGTCCATCTGCCATCTCAGTCAAGAATAATACAGGAATAATGGAATTTAGACACAATTGAATTTCCTCTATAAATTTTATAAAGTACAGTGTGTTGCAAACTAAAGTACTGGTCCAAACAGACTGTATTAATATATGGTAATTCTAATAAAAATAAAACTATGAAATGGGGAACAGAAATTTGAACATAAAATCTACAACATTTCTACTGTATATTGTACATTGACAGAAAGTCCTAATAGCTAACTTAAAGTGTTCTGCTCACCTCTCCATGTTACAAACAGGAAGATGATATTTTGCTGGAGAGAAGATAAATGGAATCCAGGAGTTAAGTTGCAGGAACTTACAGACAGCCATTCTTTCAACAGAATCTATCAATGAGTTTGATAACTCCAGGCAAAACAAAAATCTATAGTTATCTGAATAAAAAAACGTCAAGGATATTCAAAGCAGTTGGACAAAGTGTAGGTGTGGCAGATTTCAACCATTCAAATTCACGTTTTGTTTTTGCATGAATGTATTTCGCATCTCATGAGACTGATTGCAATCAATGGATTAAAAAATACTCATTGAGTGTACAGACAGAACAAAAAAAAATTCTTTACGAATGCCCAAAATTAAAGAAAAATGCTTTTTAGAGAAGAAAATATTTATATGACAGGTAATTTAGTAACATGTTTTATCCCAGGAGTTAATCACATTTCACAGAATTGTTACAACACAGGAGAGCATCATTCAGTCCTTTGTCTGCACTGGCTCTCTGAAATGAGCAATGCACCCAGTGCCACTTTCTCCACCTTCTTCCCATAAACTTACACATTCTTCCTTTTTAGTACATAATCTAATTCCCTCTTGATTGCTTTGATCGAACCTACCTCCACCACACTCTTAAGCAGCACATTCCAGGTCATAACCATTGACTGTGCAAATAAGTTACCCCCCTCATCTATTTATACGTGTGACTTCTTGTTCTTTATCCTTTTATTGATGGGGAAAGTTTTTCCTTATCTACACTATCCAGACCCTACTGCCCCTACACATTGCCTCAAAATCCATACCTGCTGCAATACACCGCAATTACAAGCATTTTTTAAATACAATTGCCAATGTGTTGCACTGGCAGTTTATGTATTTGTGGAAGGATCAAAATATTCCCTTTTGTTGGATAAAATGTAAAATAATTGTTTTTCTGAGTAATACAAGAATTAAATATCCATATCGAACCTCAGACTGACTTACTGAAATATAGCAGTAATATCTAACAGAAAGATTATGATGAACTTATATAAGAAACAGGTTTAACCTCAGCTCAAGTATTGTGTACAGTTCTGGGCACTACATCATAGGAAGGATGTGAACACATTGGAGACTGTGGAGAAGAGATTTACAAGAATGGTTCCAGAGTTGAGAAACTTTGGTTATAAGGAAAGACTGGAGAAGTTGGTACTGTTTTCTTTTTGAACAGAAGAAGGCTGAGGAACTTTGAAAGAAGTTTTCAAAATCATAAGCAGTCTGGACAGAGTGGATAGGGAGAAACTGCTCCCGCTTTAAATGAATTGAGAACCAGAGGGCATAGATTTAAAATGTTTTGCAAAAAGAAGCAGATGCAAGGAGAGAAAAACCTTTTTCACACAGTAAGTAGTTAGGTTATGGAATGCATTGCATGGATGTATGGTGGAAGCAGGTTCAGCTGAAGCTTTCAAGAGAGCAATGGAAAATTGTTTCTATTTAAGTAACGCTTAAGGCTACAAAGAACATACAGGAGACTGGCAATAGGTTAAAATGCTTTGAGAGCCACAGCCGACACAATGGGTTTAACGATCTCCTTTAGCACCGTAACAATTCTGTGATTCTGTTCAGATGGGTTTTGACATACCATGTTTGAGCAGGTGGGACTTAAATGGGGTCTTCTGGCTCAGAGTTAGGGACACTATCACTGTGCCACAAGACCCTTTTTTTTCTTCTTTTCTATCCACAATTGTGTGCAACTGAGCAACTTTCCCACCAAAATCACCAGGACTTTTTTGCTTTTTTTTGAATTAGCAACCACCACCAGCGAAACACCTGTGAATATTTACAAGCAAAGCCGATTATGAGCAATACAAGCCATCAAAGGTGAAGTGGGGGAGAGAGAGTGGGGAGGGACTAATTCAAAATGGAGTTGGAGGAGGAAATAAAACTCTGTATCCCTCGTGGTGCCCACATCTCTCCAAAGGCATTGACAGCATTGGTGCCACCACGTGCTCCTTCTCCATGGACACCCGGGCATTAACATAGCCATGGAACAGGGGCAGACAGTCTACAGAGATCCTTTAAATTACTGAATAACAACCGCTTGAAACAATTTGAAAATTGCTGATTGTGAATCTAATTTACAACATAGTGGATCATACCACTGCAGAGTTAATCAGAGTTTTAACCTATTCTGATTGCAACTACCTGAAAGGATACAGGTCAGCCCAACAATAATTCCACAGATATGGAGAAGGACAGATGAACCTGGGATAATAAGGTAGGCAACAGGGAGAAATATCCAAGGTACTGCTGCTACTGTAATAGTTCTTTTCATTCCCAAACTACAGCAACTTCGTGTCACCACAGCAAATTGAACAGTTGTAAAACCACACGCTGGTGCTTCATCAAGACGTAGTAGTTTGCCCAAAAGCAGATAAAGCAGTGCAGAAAAAATAGCAAAAAGGATGGAGAGGTAGAAGTATCGAATGGTGCCCAGCTGTTGCTCCAGGTGGCTGCTCAAGACAACTAACAATGCAACATTGATGAGCAAGGCAAAAATATTGCCATGGGAAAAACAGTAGCTCAGTAAACGGTACACTGTTGGAATAAAACAAAAAGTAGTTAATTTACGGTTACTGATGGTGCAGCACAGTTCCAAGATATACATACCATCAATAATTGTAGAACAACTCACCCGCAACTTATCTGCAGTTGCGTACAGAAAACTGTGATTGTCTAGCAAATGCCATACAATAGTTAATAATGTTTGAGAGCCATCGTATTATAACTACTCTCTCTTAAGGAAACTATGATTAATAATGTGCATTGTTTTAATTTTAGCTTCTCCAATGGCAGTGCTGTAGGACACAAAGAGGGGTTCAGTATTTCATAAAATCCTTACAGTGTGGAACCAGGCTATTTGGCCCATCGAGCCCACGACAACCCTCCAAAGAGAGCCCACCCAGACCCACACCCTACTCTATCCCTGTAACCTTGCATTTACCATGGCTAATCCACTTAGCCTGCATATCCCTGGACACTATGGGCAATTTAACATGGCCAACCCACCTAACCTACATATCATTGGACTATGGGAGAAAACCAGAGCATCCGGAGGAAACCCACACAGACACAGGGAGAACGTGCAAACTCCACATACATGCCAGAGGGTGGAATCAAACGCAGGTCCCTGGTGCTGTGAGGCAGTAGTGCTAACCACTGTGTCACTGTGCCACCCAAATTTTGTCTATCCTTAACTTGCAAAGTGCGAGTGGGGGGACACTCAATGGACTTCACATTCCCGGGCTCGAAAAGTATGAAATCAGCTTGAAATGCCATCACTATTTGGTGGCTTCCAGACTCTTCCTCTGGAAAAACATGCACATGTGTAGGTAAAGGCAGGATCAGGAGCAACTATGGTGACTCCAAAATAAAAAGTACACTAACATCATTAGGCGTAAACAAGAACAACACTTATAAGAAAATTTAGATAGTTTGCATCATCCACAGTACACAACACCATCACTGAAACATCTTGTAAAAAAGATAAAGAATCGTTTCAATTATAATTCCATTCTGTTATATTTAGCAATACAAATTTTCTTGCACTCACCACCCCCCACATCTATAGTTTTCCTCTCCAAAAGGCACTGACTGCTTGCTAGGAATGGCCTACTACCAAGTAGTACAAAAGCCAAGCCCCACCAAGCATCCATGCTTCTAATAAGCATTGTCAAATAGTCATCGGGATTAGGAGCACTAGGCAATTTTTGCCTCGCTAACCCAGAAATGGGCTGGAATTTCAAAGCAGAGTTCAGATGAATTCTGCATCCTAACCTCAGCTGCATCACTCCCAGAAAACTATTTTTCAATGCAAAGGCCTAATTGGCCGGGAAGGTAACACAGCATCTTTGAGAGTCAAGAGCTTAGCTGTCTGATGTTGGGGGCTGCTGGTGTCTTGTTAATTAGAGTAAGCTGTTCAGAACTCAGCAATTCAAATGCAGCAGTAAGAAGCAGGGCACATATATATTTCTTTGGCTTTGATATTTATTCAAATGTGTGGGGCCACCAAGTTAAAATGTTTGGAACAAGAGTTGGCCCTTCAGCCTATGGGTTTGCTTTGCAATAGAAACGGGATCATCTGTACTTCAACTCCATTCACCTGCTAATGGTCTGTATTGTTTGCCTAACAATAATTTCATTTTGTGCAGCACCCACATTTCCCCAATATTGTCAGAATCTCTTTCTTGAGAGAAAATACAAGCACTAGTTAAGGTCTGAGCTTGTTAAAAGTCAAAATTGAAGGCTGCCAGGTATGGTAGAAAAATAGGCGGTTCACCAAGTTTGCCTTGAGCTTCAGTGAAATGTTAGAGAATGCCAAAAATACAGAGGTCAGTGGGAGTTGGACAGAATTGATTTGGCTTTAAGTACTGCTTGTTAAACAAATGTTTGCAGATTAAAAATAGCACAGGTGCATTTTGCTGAAACCCTTTCCCTCTTTGATGTTGGCTAGGGTTGCAATCTTCTGTTGGATGTATTCCTGGAGGTTACATCACATGACTTGGCATCTCTGAATGCTCCATTCAGCTAAAAGCCTTCCTTCCAACTTCCAAGAAGCTTATAAATAACAAACAAAATGCCCATGGCTTTTCTCCCAGCTTGTTTGCAGCAGTGTCCAGGAGTTTAATCTTCAGTTCGAAGTGACTCTAGGGCAAACTGATTGATTCACAGAATGATTACAATGCAAAAGGCATCTGGCCCATTGCATCTATGCCAGCTCTCTGCAAGAACAGCTCAACTATTCCTAATCTCTGTCCTATCCTGCGACCCTGCAAGATTTTTTTCTCTTCAGGTAATTGTCCAATTTCCTTTGAAAGCCACAAACACCTTCACCTCCACTTTCTCTGGTTGGTGCATTCTAGATCCTAACCACTCACCGTGTAAGAAAGGTTTTTCCTGGTCACTTTTGGTTCACTGGCCTGAAGGATTGTGTCAACTTTATTCCTGTGTGTAACTACACTGTGTGCCAGCCATTCCCTTACAAGCTCAACTGCGTAATGGAGGGTTCCAAGCATTTAAAAACGTACTTCCAACAGGTTTACACATCCTTAGAGTTTTAATGTCTTCTAATTCCACACATTGTGTTTGCTGCAGCCTTCTCTAGACTGAGAAAAGAAAACACATTGAGTGAGAGCTGAACACCTCATTCATTCAGATGATCTTCAACTTCTGATCATTTGCTGTTTTAATTTTCCATTACATTTTCTCACTGACCAGTTTGTCCTCTTGTCGTTATATTGTGCTAATGAAGACCGACACATCATCTTTCTCCTGGGACTTGAAAGCCATATGGCCTTAGCACTGAGTTGGCCAACTTTAGGCATTAACTGTTGCTCAAATTTCCTTGATCAGCAAATATTAATGAAGGATGGCTGCAGTGGAGCCACTGGGAATGGAGGAAGTATGGGTTTATTTTTGCACTGGAGATCCCTTAGTGATACATAGTTGGTGGGATGGTCTACATCTTCCTGTGGCGTACTCACCTTTCTCTACCATATTCTTAGGCCATAGGAACATTAATCTTGTCAAAATGTTAATGCTTCCCATCCACCAATGCTATTCTATCGTTGGCATTTAAACATACTTTACCCAATATTTCATGCTTTTTGCCTTGCATTAAAAAAAGTATTTTTGTTCTTGCAGATTTACACAGGTCTACACAGCTTAAGAGACTACCGAAACTACTGAAGAAGGGTCACTGATCCCAAAACGTTAACTCTGATTTTTCTCCACAGATGCTGCCAGACCTGCTGAGTTTTGCAAGCAATTTCTGTTTTTGTTTCTGATTTCCAACATCTACAGTTCTTTGGTTATTTTCAGCTTTAGAGATTTACTTGTACCTCTTCTGAATTCATGCACTATGTTTGCCATAGGCTTCTCTACATTCAGGAGATGAAATACAGATTATCACTTGGTAGTACAAAATTGAATATTTGTGAAAAGAGAGACTTGTTGGCAAACCTGTTTCTTACACTCAAGGCCATGTTCCTGGATACTTTAACAATGTAAATTTGCTTGTAAGAAATGGGGATTATTAATCACTACACTAATTAACATTAAAATGATTGCTTACAACCACTCCCAAGCAAATTCTTTTCATCATGTAATGGTCCACTCACATGATCAATTTTGATTTTATTTAGGAAGACCATATTAATAAAATTCCTACAGTGTGGAAACAGGCCATTCAGCCCAACAAGTCTACACCAACTCTGTGAAGAGCACCACACCCAGACTCACCCCTGTATCCTATCCCTGGGACCCTTGCATTTCCCATGGCTAATCCACCTAACTTACACATCCCTGGACATTATGGGCAATTTAGAATGGCCAATCAATCTAACCTGCACATCTTTGGACTGTGGGAGGAAACGGGAGCATCCAGAGGAAATGCAAGCAGACACGGGGAGAATGTGCATGTTTAATGTAAATGAATAATCATTAGCTCAGCTGATGAGCTTGATGTTATATGGTCTCTATAATGTGTTTTGTCAGCAAACTTATAATTGTTACTTTTACGAGCAGTTCAGTACCTGCCATCACTAAATGAAAACCGAAAGAACTGTGGATGCTGTAAATCAGAAACAAAAACTGAAGTTGCTGGAAAAGTTCAGCAGGCTTGGCAGCATCTGTGAAGAGAAATCAGAGTTAACGTTTCATGTCTGGTGACCCATTGTCAGAACACTCAGTTCTGTGGAAGGGCACTGGACCCGAAACATTAACTCTGATTTCTCTTCATAGATGCTGCCAGACCTGCTGAGCTTTACCTGCCACCACTGCACAGTTTGGGTTTCATTTCCAAAATCAGTAGCATTATCACAGGGAGTTGATTGATCAAACATCTCCCCACAAGAAGGGAATAAAAATCTGATGCAATCATATCAACACAATTCCTGACCACTGATCAAGAGTAGCATTGCTCAGGGATAGGAACACAAAGTCCACCTCTTCTCCTGGGTGAAGGAATTGTCTCTCGGGGGTCTTGCAAGGTGAGAAAATTAGGTTTTTTTAAAAATGGGTAACATAGGCCTAAGAATAATTAGGCAACAAAATGAGCACTAAATGTCAGGAATAAGAAGTTTTTAATCTGAATTTTATCTGGTAGGGAAGAAAATTTCATATGTTAGTTTAATTTTGAACGATTGCATTGGATAGAGAGCTGACCACCAATGTTCTAGACTGCATTGCTGAGTGATCAAGGTAAAACCTGCCAGCAGGGAATGTAGTTATGGAGTCATAGAGATGTACAGGATGGAGACAGACCCTTCGGTCCAACTTGTCCACGCCAACCAAATGTCCTAAATTAATACAGATCCATTTGGCAGCATTTGGCCCATATCCCTCTAAACCCTTCCTATTCATATACCCATCCAGATGCCTTTTAAGTGTTGTATTGTGCCTGCCTCCACCACTCTTCTAGCAGCTCATTCCATACATGCACTACTCTCTGCGTTAAAAGGTTGCCCCTTAGGTCCCTTTTATATCTTTCCCCTCTCTTTGCTAAAACTATCCTATCTACCTGTGACTACACCTTCAAG